TGAAATATGATGTCATTTCCACTTTATTATACTGTGCAACAACGTGGGAAATAAACTTTTCATTATTATTATAAATAAAGTTCCATCCCCTATTTTATCCCCTTAGGGGTGGAATTTATCAAAATCCTTAATTAGGGGATGCCTACTTCATAGTAGCTTTATGCATGCTAAGTCTCAACCCGATCGGTTTAAATTTGACAAAGTTTCATACAAACTTTCATCCCCTATTTTATCCCCTTGGGAGTAGAATTGATCAAAATCCTTTCTTAGCGGATGCCAACGTCCTAACATCTACCTGCATGCCAAATTTGAGCACGATCCGTCCAATGGTTTGGGCTGTGCGTTGATAGATACCTTTGAGTTATATATATATATATATAGATGTTAACATCTGTGTATTATATTACTTAATCACCCAGTGTACTTCCCCACTTTCCATGGACTACGATCAACATTTAGAAATCAGCTAAATCGACATCACCTCAAGTTTTAGAGACGAACGAACAACAATTGTATTTTATGGATATTATTGATACAGACATTTAATATTAAATATATATCATGATTTTAAGTGATAATTAATTGAACATAGAATTCCCTCCATAAGGATTTTTAATGAATGCAAAATGAATACTATCATTTCAAGCTAAATTGTTAAAAAAATATATTTAGGAACTTGATTCGATGTTTTGAGCGGCGTATTTGAGTATACCTAAAAATTTTACCAGTGAGAAAAGGCAGCAATTTTTTTCTATTGAACACTTATTTTTCTTTCAATTTGCTTCCCAATCGAATTTATCCGAAAATTCTAGTTAAAGGTAATTTTTATAAGCTAGTTCTCTATATAGATTATAATAAGTCTTTTCAATATACAATTTTTTTTCTTTTTCTGAAAGCTTTAGCTATAAAGAAGAATAGGCACGCGTTGCTACAATATTGAATAAAAGTAAACTCTACAATATTTAATGAAAGTAAACTCTCCCACGAAGCTGAAGACCACAGTTTTCTGTGACCACAACCATACGTAGGCGGCACAGACTTGTAAAAAATGATAACTCGTGAGAACTGCTCGTCGTTAGCAACAGATCCGTCTGCGGTGAAATTTTTCTATCAAATTTCATGAAAATTGTGGTTTCAATTCGCCATTTAAAAAAGAAGAATTCATCATATTCCACGATATGCTGATGATTAAATCCATTAAGCCAGGTGGTTAAATCAGCTGTTCAATTAGGTGGCTAGCCCTTATTTGAATTGCGCCATTAAATTGCACGCCTAGTTTCTAGTTGAATCATTATGACATTCGATTGTTCAACAATACGGCTGGTCAAAAAGTGACGAATACTGTAGTTGTTAAATGAAACCTTTTTGTTTAAAAATTCCTAAGCGTTCTCACAAAATTCACGAGTTTCTTTCTAAAATACTAAAATAAAATTGTTTTTAAACAAAATACAAAACAACCAACCACAAATGCCAGCAACTTTTCTAGAAGTTGGACAATTAAAAATACAACTAACAAATCTCGTTTGATTTCCGAAGCAGTTTTTTTCTTATTAGTTAATAGTCTTTTATATTTGCAATATCTTACCGATTAACTACGAATAATGATTATGAGGGTATCAGTTTGTTTTGTATTAACCTGTTTGATATAAATCGACTGTTTTAGGGAGGATTAAGGATTATTTTCCATTTCTTCTTTTGTAATTTATTGTAAAATTTACAGCTATACAATAATTTAACTAATCACTCAATTTAAAAAAAAATAGTATCTTTTATTTTTTTAATACAACCTTAATATTTACTCGCTATTATATCAATTGAATAATATGAGGAGTTTAGGTTCTCATCTTGGAATTTGTTGTCTAATAATATTTATTTTATTTATTTATTGGAATATTGGAATCTTATAAAAGCCATGAGGTAGATTAATAGTTTGATTGTTTCTGCTGATTTTTTTAAATTTCATTGGCCATTTTATTAATATTCAACACTTTTTAAATAAATCAACTTCAAAAATAATTTATCTAAACAATTTGTTTGAATTCGACTCTAGGTATTTAAGAGTTGGTGCTAAGTAGGTATCTCAGTTTTATAACTCCAATCCTTATTTTAGAGAACCTAAAAGAAATTACTTAATCAATGATTACTCAATACTCGGCTATATTTAATATTTCTACTAAGAAACCAGATAAAAATTCGTTTTATCGGTCACCGTTTTCATTTTAGTCGTACAAATTTGTGATAAACAATATGTTGTCATGAGTTTGATAAATGAATACTTAAATTATTGAAACAAAGTATTATATTTGTTTGTTCCAACATTAGACACATATTTTATTATATTCTTATTATTCATAAAAATATTAATAGAGGCAGTAAAAAAGCAATTTGAATTAATCAACTAATATTTTGAAAATAAATCGTAATAGATTTATAGTTATTTTTATAATTATCTTAAAGTTTCTATCCAACCAGAAAAAAGGTTCACAATAAAAAATGCATTAAAACTTTTATAGAATTAAGTTTAACTTCTTTTTATCAATAAAGAATGTATTTATATACTTATATAGGTATTTGAGTTAAATACGTTTTGAATACCCAAATTAATTTGCTTGCAGCCTACGACACCACGATTAAGCCGTGTTGAGACCCCTATAAAAAGGTTGAATACCACTGCTAAATTTTTTTATAATGTGATTTTTTTGAGCATGGAAATCGTCTTTTCTCTTTATTCGGTAACCAATTGATTATTAATTATACCTATATCTAAATAATTATAACTTTCTTTGATATTTCCACTTACAACCAATCCAAATAAAACGTTTTAAGGCATATTTGATTCTCTTTTTTATCAATAGGTACATAATACACATGAACGGGAAAAATAATTATAAATATTTTAATAATAAAAAGTTTGATATCTATATTAAAATTTTTTGTTTCGTTATTTTAAATATAAACTTTAAACAAATTAATGTAAAGGCTCATTTTACATCGATTAGTATCACACAATACGAGCAAACCAAAGATTAACTAGTTATGTAGACATATATATATAATCAGCAGTACGCGTCAGTTCGTTGAGAGGGCTGCGCGCGTTTCGCGTTAAAAACGTCAATAAATTTAATAAGTTAAAATATTGCAGATTTTGTCGTATTTAACCATTTTCTAAATATCAATCGGTAAGTTTTTTGTTTCCTAATATTTTACTTCTCAATATTCACATCGAACAAAGCAATTTGTACCTTACTATTTAATATTTTGAGTGTCAGTGTCTTGACATATTTATGTAAGCCGTTCCAAGGACTATAGGCATCACCTTTATTTACAAATTACTTCGAAATTCAATTCACATAGACTGGTGTATAATTCTAATTTAATTATGTATAAGCACATGTTGTTTTTTAATGTTCGTTTAGCAAAATAAAATGAAATAGAAACTAAAGTACACATTTACATATTTTACTCAAAACTTATGTCATAAAATTAACAACTAAAGGCATGAATAAACTACACCTTAGTTAGACATTACAAATAGTTCCTAACGAAAAAAAGTCTTACATATAAATTTTTTACTTTAAATTACAAAAAAAAAATTGACAGCTTCTGTGGCCGAATGGCTCGCATGCAGGTTTTAACAGAATACCCAGTTTCGATTCCCGGTCGGGTTAATATACAAAATCAACTTTACTGTATATTTTTTCGGGTCTGGGCGTTACGGTACCTATGTTGCTTCGGATAAGACAAGTGTTAAAAGCTACTTAATTTGGGATCCGAGCAGTGAATGTGATTTTTCTGATATTTATTTTATAAAAAATATAAAATATAGTACTAAGTAACAACAGATAACGTATACTAGACCTGTCTGTTTATTTAGTTGGTAAATGACGCAGAACACAATAGACAACACAAAGACTATAATTACTGTTTTATTAGGATTAATTATCCAATTGACAAACTCATTAGGTATAATTAATCAAAATGATATTGTTACGCGCCAATTTTAGGTGATCATAACCACAGAATCATAACTCATCAATACTCCCAAATAAGTCTAGAGTGACTTTGCTAATTAATCAGCCCTGCGATTCTGTAAAAATTCAAACACGAATTCAAATTCAGGTGTCTGAATTCATTTAAAAAAGCGGCATCTGCTCAATCTTGAATTGATATAACGTTTCGTGGCACAAGTGAAGTGAGTTCCGAAATTACATAGGAATAGAATATCTGAGACACGTATATTCAATCAATTTGTATTTTTATACAAAAAATGGAATCAATAGAATTTCTACACTAAACGACGTTAATTCGGACTCATGAGAGAATTCGAATTCGGGTCTGGATTTCTAAAGAAACGCAGGGCTGGACTTCAATTCTGATATTCAATTCATATCTCATCTTAATAGTCCAATATTATTAGTGCAATGTTTCTCAAATATCAATGGACATACATATGTATTATTTTGTTATCTAGTAACAATAACTGTGTCATAAGGTTGTGGAAGCGCTTCTGACTTTCTATAATAACGCTAACATGTTCAGAATTCGCCTCTCCAAATTCTAATAAAACTCAATTATAATAAGGACGGCCGTAAAACTAAAAACCTATCACTGTGTTATCCTCTGTAATTATCTAACTCGTTAATCTTATTATTATATTAGATCAATTTTTCATTTACAATGTTATACTGAAAAATATTCTTAATGAAAAATGCTTAAAAAAATCCCTGGCACTCATAGGTGGGACTCGAACCCATGACCTTTCGCTTTCCGGGCGACTGCTCTAATCACAGAGCTACCCAGAACCTAACAGGACTGACGATTTTTTAAGCACTTGTTACTTTCATTAATCTATTTGCATAGCTTCAATCTCACGATTTTCTTTTGTTTACTTTAGAATAAACAAACAAAATATCGATTACCCAAATTTTGTTGTTTAGGCTAAGTTGCTCATAAATGTACTGGAAATGTAACTTAAGTTTTCTTACTGTTTATTTTCAGCCATGGGCAAAGTAGCTACAGCGGAAGTCCTACGGTTCATGACTGACTGCTTGAAGGCAGCTGGTGCAGCATCGAAAGCAGCGGAACAGCAAGCCGAGCTGCTTATCCAAGCCGATCGTATGGGCCACCCGAGCCATGGTCTCAATAGATTAGGTAAGATTGTTATACCTAAAAATAAAATAAAAAAATTAGAGCATAAAAATCGCATAGATCTCTACTAAATTTTAACGTAATAATGGCATTCTTTATAAGAAATACTTAAAAAATCCACCAGCTCTCTACTCTGAGATGGGACTCGAACTCGCGACCTATAATAGTTTATAGTATTTTCTTACAATAGGGATAACGATGTAAAAAAAGAAATTGTATTTAGTCCGCCAGTCTGATAATAGAAAAAGTTACATAAGATTTTATTTCACTTCAATTTAACAAGAAATTGCTTAGATAACGGGTACTAAAGTTGAGAAGTGGGGGCTCTCTACGGCACAGTTTTGTAGAAAATGTAGCAAAGCGTTACGTCATGTGACATTTTAACTTAATGTATAACCGTAATTTAATGATTACGAAAAAAATAAAAAATACGTGTTTAATATTCTACCTTTCAACAATCTACCTGACGGACATATATGTATAAACAAAAATTAGTCTTTATCCTTATTTTATATATCTGACGCCAAATATGATTAACAAAATAGCGTGGTGATGTATGGATAAATTACTGATGTTTTTCTTATTCTGTGGTACATATAGTGTTATGCACCAAGTGTCAAACAATGTTTTGACAATATTCATCAAGCATATGTTATTTGTTTCGATTTCCGGCATAGGACAATTCACTTGTCACAACAAAATTTTGATAATAAAGTATGTATATCCTTTGTTATAAATGTTGTTTTTTGTTTATTATGAGTCCGTGTGGAACCTAACCCTTGAGTTTTACATGTAAACATATGAAAAAATATGTCTCCACTTAAGTCGAGAACCTAATATGCCGTAAGTACGAGGACTACCTGTATTCAAATAAAAATAGTACCGTAATGAAACCTTGTTTCAATTGTTCTGCTCTATAGGCAATTTGTTCATTGTATAGTTTTTATCATTTGCATTTTTGCATTTTGGTGCATTTTTCGTACTACGCGGACATTATTAATATTGTCCGATTAATCACTTTGTCCATGACATGTAACAAGAACTTCGTTTAACGCCAATGACACACATTAGCAGAATTGATCCCCTGGCGAGTGCTGGTAAGCACATGTGTACAAACATTTGTGGTTTTCTACATGGCTCAGTTTGATTGTATTTAATATTTTGCTTTGGTGTTGAAATAAATGTGGGGTCTAAAGAAATTGTAAAATAATAATAATAATAATAAATACTCTTTATTGCACTACAAGAAAATGACACGGATATACATATAAATATTTTGTGCAACTCAAAAGACGAGCAACCTTACATTGGATGGAAAAAAACTTCAATGGCAGATATATGTAACTAAATAGACAAAAAAATATGAATTTAAAATGATAATAAAAAAAAACAAAAAAGGAACAATTTAAATACATTGTTGTTATTGTAATACATAATGAACGTTCAAAATGCTCAAGACTCAAGCGACAACTAGAAATTCTGGTCTGGTCTTTATGATCCAGAAGCACAAAGAAAGTAAGTGGATCAGGCAAATGATTCATAAATGTTGACGAAGAAAAATAAAAAACTTCAATAAACACAGATAGATAAAGGTTTGGTTATTACATCACGACGTATGATAAGAAATCTCAATGTCAAGATCAAACCAAGTGTTTGATCTTTTTAATCTTTTTAAAATAGTTTTCAGATTCAGATAGCAAAAAATTATATTGGAATAATGTATAGAAAAAGCAGTTGATATCAAAAACAAAATAATTAATAAAACAAACATAATAATGGAGAAGTTACTCAAAGACACTATGAGATGTACGAAATTCTCAAACTCTAAACCCATTGCTCTCTAAACTTTGCCGTCGCCAAATCGGAATTGGCGTTTTCATGACTTCGAAAATAGACAATCAATGGTTTTTAAAAAATAAAGAAATCTTAGAAAAATGCAAAGCTGTCCCCTAATTTTGAACCTTAACGAGATACATTTAGTTGAACCTAATGGTTTGTACCGAACTGTAGCTGATAAGCTTGGTAACCGAAGCAGTTTATTTTGTATTTTTCATTGCATTGTGATTCTAAATTCCTAAATTCTACATTCTCTAATGAAAAATTTATATGAATGTAAATCTTTAGGTACTAGAATCTAAACTTAATTAAAATTTTCTTAATTATAGTGAAAAATAGTTCCAGTTTCAAACCTGCGAAGAGTGATTTCTTGTAAAATAATGTACCCGTGAACTTGATTTAGAAACAGACAATCCGCAATAATTGGCAAACCCTACCGGCTATGGAATTATTTTTAGAACGGATTCATTGAGCTTAAGTAGGTACGTTGAACCAGATTCGTTATAGCTTTGTCAATACTATAAATACTTACCATATCAATAATTGAACTGCTTGATAGTAAACTAAGTAGTTGGATGAAAGCTATTAAGTGGATCTTTTATGGATAAAAGCTATTAAGTGTTAGCTTAATGTTGTCTCGCTTAAACAACTGAAGTATAAAAAAATTACTTAATTAAACCTACAACGCGGCTCTAGCGTAGAGTGGTATATGTCAATGTCACTCCAAAGCATGGGGGAGCACGAGATAATACATTTTCGGTCACCCATCCTGTGATCGGCCCTTGTGGAAGTTGCTCAACTTCAGTATCGTGTGCGAGTGAAGAACTACCGAATAATAATATATATAGTTTTTCACACATGACGCTATAATAACTATAATTGAGCTGTTTTGTTGAAATCTTCTTTGTTTTATTAACTTTAACGATAAAATAATGAGATCTCTCCAAAAAAATCTAACACTATTACTAAAGGAATTTGTTTCTGTTTTTCAGAAATGTATATCAATGACATCTTATCCGGAGCGTGTCACCCAAATAATGAGCCAAAGGTAAATAAATATTACTCGTCCCTCAAAGGCCGGCAGCGCGCTTGTAGCCCCTCTGGTGTTACAGGTGTCCATGGACGACGGTAATCACTTACCATCAGGTTATCCGTCTGTTCGTCTGCCCCCTATCACATAAAATAATTAAAAAAATAATACACAAGATTCTACATTTAAACCTATTATTTTAAGGGAACTAATTTTTGAGCTGTTATTTAAATATTCGAGATGTTATTATGATTACTTGAAAAATATATTGAGCAGTTATTTCATTTAATGGCGGTTGCTTAATTATTGCGACAGTAAAACATGGACAGTAATAAAAAAGCAATTAGTCGGTTACTTTATCATACAATGTCAATTCTAAAAATAATTGAGCAGTCCAATGAGCGGTCAAAATGATAGAATGAGCGGTTCGATAAATAGTTAGGCAGATCAGAGCGAGCTATTACACCCGTACTCAAATTAATTGAAAATTGGAATAATGCGCGTAAAATTGAAATTTTTGTTCAACTTACGAGGCGTCCATTAAACATATCGCTATAAAGCGATACGTATTAGTAACCTGCAACACCAAAATTGTTCAAATCTTATAAAAATTAAAATGATTAATACGGAGTAAGGTGGTTTTTCGAAAAATACATATTTACTGCTCTACAAAACAATATTGATTCTGTTGGTTACTACGCGTTTACTTTCTAGTGTAGAAACATTAAACAAAAATGCTATTCAGTTTTATATTAAATACATGTTAAAAAAAATTAAGGTACTGAAAGAAAATGCGTCTACTGCATGGGTGGATGCCAGCAATGTGTTGGGTGCCACAGCCAGTCATTTTGCTATGGACATCGCCATCAAGAAAGCCAAAGAAACTGGCGTTGGATGGGTCACTGTCAAAGGTTTGTCATTACTTATACCAAATGACATACTTAATAGTATTATCCTCCTTAAATAACCTTACTTCTTTAAAAAAAATATGAAACATTTGAATATCGACTTTCAATTGTTTTTGTTATTCAACTTAGACAAGAAAGATGGATACTGCGAAAATTCAAGTTAAACGTTACCTTCCTCACAATATTGACGTAATTGCGTCAAATCAATAAAATAAAAATATAGTAAAAATGGGTGCCTCATGATTTGACTGATCTGCAGAAAGAAACGCGTGTTGAAACTTATGTTGCTTTGTTGAATCGGTACAGAAATGAAGGAATATTGGATCGAAATGTGACGAAAAGTGGATTCTGATGATAACCGTAAAAGAAAAATGCAATGGCTGACCCATTATTAAATATTTCCACAGCAAAAATAAATAAAGAATCACCCAAAATTTAACTTTTGCCAGATTACATGTTATCTATTACGATATTAATTTTAAAATATTTAATGAGTATTTAACCACAGTAACCATGGTTTTTAATATATTTTACCATTCTAGGATCAAATCATAATGGCATGGCCGGTTTTTGGGCCCAAAAAGCAGCTGATAAGGGACTTATAGGAATGGCGTTTACGAATACATCACCTCTGCTAGCGCCTACAAGAAGTAAACAGGTAATAATAACAATATAAAATTCCAGACTGGATATTAACTGCCACTTTATAGGTTGGCGGTTAGTTGGATTGATAGAACGTGGAATGATAGGTTCATTTTATATGACACATATGTCTACCTATAGATTGCAAAAAACGCTATATAATAATAAGCAATTTTTCATCTATTTATTAGAAAAAAGGGTTTTTTTATAGTTTTAACCTTTTCCAGCGGGCGCTATGTAATAAAATAATTATTATTACACAATTCCTCTTTTAATATTATTACGTAAGGATTTAACCATAAAAACTCATCAGTGAATTAATAGAATAAAAATGGTTCATTGTGGTTGGGGCCGCTATAAGATACCCATGGATCCGCGTCAGGCCTTCATGATACAGGAAATAATTGACGAAAAATACCCCTGGAACAAAGAGTACACGTAAAACTACCGCTATAAAGACTTGTCTATAACTATCTACTACATACAAAGAAAGCTTGTAGGTATATTTACATAGGTTCAAATAATAAAACAGTTTTACTAAATTTGAATTTATTGTGTTTCTTTATGAAAACAAATATTTAAAAATCTAACATATATTCATATCTTTATTTCGGTTCGGTATCAGTTTCTATTGCTCATTCTTGTTCTGCCCCTTACAATGAAACTAATAATTGTGTATATTTTTTTCAGTCTGCTCTTGGAACGAATCCGTTATCAGTGGTAGCACCAGCGTCTCAAGGTGAATCGTTCTACTTAGATATGGCTACTACAGCAGTCGCTGTTGGCAAAGTAAGTGAATTAAAAGTAGAATAAAAAAGAAAATATTATAGGAAATTGATATCTTATTTATGTTGCCTTGAATATGAATTTACATGTGTTAATTTACATTATACCAATGATTTTTGACACACACAATAATGCTTAGTAGTACTTTTGTCCCTAGGGAAGCATTTTGTAGGATAAAAAGTAACCTAAATGTTAATTCAAACTTAGAATAAATTCGCATATCTAACATTAGTAGGATTTTAAGATTCAAGTACATTCAATTTATTTGCATAAAACGTGGTTATAATATGGTCAGTAATAAAAAAGCGCTTCACATGTTTAGTCTTAACAGATATGTAAAATACATTACTAACTTATTATATCTAAAAGAAATTATCATCAAATTTATATTAAATAAGACAAGCATAAACAACAGATTCAAAACAAATACATTCCAATTGTCCATATTATTAATAATCATTCAAATATTATGTATTATGTTAAGTTAAATAAGTCATCAGCAATGTCAAAACATAAATGAAACAACATAGGAAGTCTATTAAGCGTTTAAAAATTCGCAATTAATAAATAAAATTATGTCATAAAATTAATTAAATTAAATTCATCATCCATAAGGAAGCCCTGAGCCCCTGCAGTGGGGACGTAAAAGGGTTGGTGATGTTACCTATCATAAATTATCTGCTTAATATCCATTCACACTGTAATAACATTTAGTCCAAGGGAAGCGGTACAGTTTACCTTTAAATAAATTTATTGGTAAGTTCACTATTTCCCTAGGTAATTTATTGTAAATTCTCACTGCCATCGGGACGAAACTACCACTATAAATTGACGATCGCATTTTTGTTAATAGTAGTATATATGAATATCTTCCAGAATAATCATGGAATATTCACATTTTTATCAAATAAATCAATATATATATTTAACAAATTTCCACATTTCGGAATGTATATAGCAAGGCAATGATAACAATTTCAATTGCTTAAAATAAGGTTTACAACTTGTCATGCCTAGAAGGTTGCAAATGGAACATATACATTTCTTTTGGGCTATAAACACTCTCTCTATATCGACGGATTTACCCCCGATTATGATCCCATATCTGAGAATGGACGCCACATATCCATGGTATGTTAGTAATGCTGTTTTATATCAGATATATTCACTAGACGCCACAAAGAATATGTAAACCTATTTATCCTATCTTACAACACACATATTGTATATGCGACTCCTCATTACTTTCAACAATGATGAATAATTTGTGTACAAATTTTTATTATTTTCTATGGAATTGGGTCGATACCTGGGTAAAAAAAAAGTAATTCTATTTAGTCCGTCAGTCAGATAATAGAAAACTATTAGATATCTACGTATTCTTTTTTGCATAAAGATGTAGCGTGGGGGCTCGCTACGTTACAATTCTGTAGAAAAAGTACAAAGGTGTGACGTCATTTGACATATTTCAACTCAATGTATCGCTGAAACTTAATGAGCACGCAAAAAATCAAAAATACGTGTTACATTCTTCAGATCTACCTAATAATAAAAAAAACATCATCCTTATAGGCACTGCTTTGGATTTCTGATTTATATGTCTATTGATTTATATTCGATTAATAAACAAGCATAAATTATTAACTACACCTTTTTGTCGTGCGTGATATCACGCAACTGGGAGCGTGGTGATCTTCTGTCATCCGTGCCGTGATATACTTTAACTTTCATATGCTATTAGTCTACTTGAATTATGTACTTATTCAATATTTTCCAGATAGAGATGCAACGTCGTAAAGGTGAGCCTATACCACACGGCTGGGCGCAAGGTCCTGACGGCAGGGAGACCACTGATGCTGAACTGGTGATTTCACACTTTCTTATATTATAGAGATAACATAGGTATAAGTTACGTATTCGAAGTACCGGTAAAAAAACAGTTTTTTTATATAACACTTTTAAAACAATGTTTTTATTAAAAAATGCTAAAATTGAGGGCAAAATTGTTAAAAATGTGTTAAGTGTCAGCGACAGAAAAAGTTGTAGATATATTAAAAATTTGCCTTAAACAAGGTCTTATTGAAATCCTACATAACGTTAAATACCATATTACGACATTATGAATATTGATTGGTAAGTACTCCTAGTTCATTGAAAAATATTGAAATTTAAAATATCAAAAATATTCCTAATAAGTAATGCTTAAACAATCCACTTAGTCCCCGGTACTTCGAGATGGTCGCCCGTATTGCGAAATCACTTAAAATAAATATCTTTCATACAGGCATTCAAAACCAGCTGCTTGATGCCGCTGGGAGGAGGCGAGAAAACTTCGGGATATAAAGGATTTGGTCTGTCTGCTATGGTGGAGTTGTTCTGTGGAATTTCATCTGGTAAAAATATTTTATATTATAGTTTTGAGTATTCTGGCCGCGATGCTCTCGCTATGTGAACTAATTAATTTATATAATTTTGTCGAAACTATAGCCACATAATATATAACTGTTTTTTTTTTATTATTGAACATCAATAATATTTCACAATTAACTAAATACATTTCCATGCACATACATTTTTCTCGAAACGAAACGAAAAAAAAATTGATAAAGAGAACTTATTTATTTAGCGTTAGCGGTACCAAGTATTTAACAGTGCGAGTGCTATATGTGTTCTACTGCAGCTGTTGTTACTAGTTTTCCGCAATTAATTCATGTGCAACTACTTGTTTTTAAAGACCCATTAAACTATTCCACCTTGAGAAACTGGACACAAAGAGATCTCTAACGGGTAGCAATGTTTAAAAAATGATTTTTTATATAATAAAAGGAAGGTTTGTATGTATAATACAGCTATATTATAATAACATTGAAATTGTCAATATTTTGCCCTATCGATTGTTGGCTGAAGTCATAATAATATTCTTAATGAAAATGTTTAAGAAATCCACTTTGTCCCTGGCACACTGAGATGGGACTCGAACCCTTGACCTTTCTGAATACTGGTGACTGCTCTAACCACTGAGCTACTCAGAACCTAACAAATTTGAACAGGAGGTTAGAACACTCGTCCGAATTGCGAGTAGTCAATTTAACATTATTAATGCAATAATGTTCAAATATAATAGTCGTAATAATAATTAAAATAACAATAGTAATAAGGTAGTCAAATTCATCATAACAGAATTAGTCTTAGAACTCTAATATCATTATAGAACTCTTGCGGCTAGGACTTTATAGTTGCTGTAGTACAGTCAACATGTCAATAGCAAGTCAGGTTATAAAAAACTGTCTAAATTCTTCAAATGATTTTAAGCTTTATTACAATACCAATTATGGTCAAACCCGATTGTAAAACAATTAAGTTTAGTGATTATTCATTTTCCTTACAAGATGTAATTTCATTTTCCTTAAACATACTCTTTAAGAAAAAAAGATTGAGTGATATAAAACTTATTAATCCAAGACTTCTATGTTAGTAACAGCGAATAAAATGCTTGCTGCAGGATCCAATTACGGCCACCATGTCCGCTCGTGGTCCCACAGCGGTGCCGGTGGTCCAGCCAACCTGGGCCACTGCTTCATCGCCGTCAACCCGGAATGCTTTGCGCCCGGTTTCGGCGACCGCCTCACCGACAGCATACAGCATTGGAGGCAACTCGAACCGGTGTGTGAAGTGAAAAGATAGTGTTGTTTTTTTTTCTGCTCTCAACCTTAGAGGTTCGTGACCACTTTCCCAGCGGGGGAAGGAGGCGATGAATCCTTTATTGGATACCTCACAGCTGGCTGTGAGGTTATGTCAGACTCCTACTGACTAAACATCGCCTTGGACAGTTGGTTGCGTGCCCTGAAGGGGCAACGAACCTACGATCGGAGCGACCGTCCCCCGCAAGGAAGGGACGTCACAATTCACCTACATGAATTGTGACATCGAGATGTTAGCCGTTAACCCCGGGGGGCTCGGCTCATCGGATTTGAATACAACTGACTATCTGAAGGGGAACGATCAACCAGATCGGATGGGGTATGACCTGAAAGGTCCGGGTAAGGAGGATGGGGAGGGGAGCTATCGCGTGCCACCAGAAGGGGGCTACGTCCGCTATCGCAATAACACTGGTATTACCAAATCGATGTCCTCTATACTATCGACACTACCAGTAGTAAAATTAACATACCACTTATGTGGTTTATGATTCCGAGCAAACCGAACATTCCGATTTAATACATCTGTAATTACCATTCTTTAGAAATACTGATTGTTGACTGATATTTTTTTTTTAAACAACGAGATCTACGTAGATATAACGAACCACGAGATATGACGTACCTAATGCTGTGTCATTATATAAAATTCTCTCTATTCGGCGACCGGACTTTATTAATAAAATATCCTCGCCAGGGATAAAGCTTGAAGATATGCATAGATATAGATACTATGTTGCGTGGAAAGATACAAAAAAAACTGACAACATACATATTATATGGAAATATTTATATAGGTATTCAAAACTAAAACTAATTTAAGTGTGTATTTTTTTAGACTGACCCCAACTTACCTGTATTGGCTCCCGGTGACAAAGAAAAGAAAGCTGCTAAAGAAACAATGGAGCGGGGGACGGTATCCTATGTCAAACAACAGATTGATTCCAGCGCCGCTCTAGCGGAGAGATTAAAAGTCAAACCTATGGAAGTCATAGAAAACTGAAACTACTACTTGAATGCATTTGGTGTTCAAAAAACAAATGCCATCTCATTATTAAATATATTACGATTCAGAAATAATTATGTATTTATGAGTTCATCAAAGAAAACATATCATTGTATATTTTATTATGATTATTATTTGTTATCCCATTGGTTTATATGTTGATAAGTCTTAAAAACGAATGTAAATATTATAAATGTGTCTAACACGTTGTTATAAATCATAAGTAGGTATTCTTTTTAAAAAAATAAAAACCTAGTTGTGTAAAAGTGCCATAACAATAGTAAATCTTGTTATGTATAACATAACACGTATTAAAATTTTTACTTAAAAACTAATAATCAAAGAACAAGAAATACACATGTAGATAGGCACTATTTTACAAAGTATTTTTATGTTACCTATAAGAAATCTTTGTTATTAGGTATTTAATAAATCTACACTATCGAAAGACTTTTATACTTCTACAACATTTTTAAGCATTGTGATCTTGTTAAATTTACTCCTAACTTCAATTGTGTGAAGGATTTAAATGATATATATAATAATTCCTACATTCCTGAGTATCAAAATTTATCTATCAAGAAGATCTCTAAAAATAGTTAAAGTCCAACTTTACTATTGTACATTCAGTTCTATTATTACCGTTTTGTTTGAGTTGACCCTTAGAACTAAAATAAGGCCTAGATATTATTAAGGGTTAGAAATTAAGTTTAATGTGACACGTAACTACTAAAATTGTTTTGGTCGATTATATTACCCACTCCACTTATCACACCACATATCATACATGTATGATGAATATCGGTTTAGAACGCATTCTGGTACTTTATGGGTTTAGACAGTAGGATATATGTGTACGGTATGCCCAGATAATTATCACTCATCTGATTCGTTTGAAACAGACGTGGCAAAAAACATGTAACACGTCCTGGGGTGTTGCGGGCCTTGGCAATCGCACGAAGAATGGTGCTATTGTGCTTTTAAATGTGTACGAGAAGAAGGAAATGATATTGTGTATTGTGATATTTATTACGAGTACATGCATACTTGAAGTATTTTATTATTTGAAATGTAAAATTATAATAATTATGTAGGTAAAAAATCTAAATATACATATGTATTTTTAAATAAATCTTGTTTCATTTATGTAGTACCTATGTAACAGAATCAAGCGTTACTATAACTGACCATCATTATTATAATTATAAAGTATTGATCTTTAGTCCTTTGCAGTGGCAGCAAACCTTGCAACTATATAATATCAAACTATACTCTAAAATCGAATTCGAATTCAAACATATACCTATAATGTAAATGCGAGCATAAGTAATAATTTATTTATTTTTAAATGACTGCCTAAAAAAGTTGTGTGCTGTATTTAGGATTAATGTAAGTGTGTATGTACGTTTCATTATTCTACCATAACCTTTGAAATACACAATAGGGTAAAAGCAATTTAAAAATTAAAAACCCGACTGCCGATATCAAACTAAAATAAAAGAAATAAGTTGTATTATGGCTTGGCCAAACAATATTCTCGTTGCAGTCGCATAAATTAAACATACTAAAGTCATGAATGTCTCATTTTAAGATATTCATCATTATTACCTGTTGATATTTTCATCAAATATTTGACGAATTTATTTCATACTTGGCAGAATTTAATGTAGATATACATTAAATTCTGCCACAAAAACCTACACATCTACTAGCTAATAATTAACCGACTCATCTTTTTACATCTACAATAGACTTAGCTATTTATAATTTGGCCTAAAATGTAACAAATCCGATGCCAAGTCGGTTCTATAAGTAGCTGTCCAGTATTTACTATTAGTTGAGTTCATCACTAGCGTCACATTCAAAATGATATCCCATCTGGAGTTTCGTAACTTATGGTGGTCATAATCTAATATTTTTACTTCACAGTCAAAGACGTAAAAGACGTCCGGCAACCAGAGAAAAAGATGTCCTGAACGAGTGGTATGGGAAAAAAATATTTGAGCGATTCAAAAGTGCTTGAAATAAGCTACCTTGAATAAAGATATTTTCATTTTCAAAGTATCATAGAAAAATAAGCGTTTTAGACTGAAGTTTTTCTATGAGTTTGTGGCTTTAGAGAAAGTTTTTGACAGATTAGTACAAACTAGAAATACTCTGCTAGAAGGGACAGGAACATAGTTAGCAAGACAAGGGGGCAAGTAACATTGTTGATGGAGCATTGGGAAAAATCCTTGACAGAAACGACTTCGTTTTCTCCACTATATTAGCTTTTCTTTTAATCAAAAAAGTTTTAACTTCCATACAAACAATGTTTATGTCCATAATGGTATTTATAATTATAGCAGAATTACATTAACATGTCAGTGTGCATTTAATAGAATCAGGCGTTATCTTCTACCGAAAGTAAAAGAGACTATGAAACTATATTATCTAGAAACTTATTTAGTAGGTATCTGCAACACTGGCCGTGTAACGACCGCACACAAATTCACATGAACAACCGAAAACAAATCACACAAACGATCAACTACCACTACACGTGTTTCACTACACAAAATTCTGAAACGAGTAAGCTTGAACAAAAAATTTCGTACAGTTATTGAATTTACAATTATTGCTATTTTTATTAATGAAATAAATGTTGAGTTTTATTGAAACATAGCGAAAATACGTTGAGTTTCATTTCAGTTATTTGAGTATTTTTCACATCCCATGATGTGAACAACGTAAAATACACGTATGGGACGGGGGCGCATTGTACATATCAGAAACAACCTTCAATATTTTCTTAATGCTTTACGTGGACTTATACACATAAATGTTAACCAGATACTTATATAATTTATACATTAACTAGTTTTCTCCAGCGGCTTCCCCCCGCGTGGTCCTGTAATATGCATAATAAATGTTCCCCCGGAATCACTCTGTATATTGAAGAAAATCACATTAAAATCCGTTATGTGGTTTAGTTTATAAAAGCTCTCAGCGTACAGACGGCGGAAAGCGATTTTGTTTCAAACTATGTATAGATAAAGTCTACAAAAATGCCGTCAAATGCTCAACCTATAAAGTCGTAAAATATCCTGTGGGCAAAATTTTTTGGGTCACACAAAATAATTAATGATACACAATGTCAAATAAATATAAGCGAACACCTTGCGAGCAGATTCGTTATTTATTTGCATTGTGGAATTTCGGAAAACTTTTGACACTGATAAAAGTTAGAAGTCATGGAACGTACTATTAACAATAGGTGTGTCACAACACTTAGTTTATCACATTAAAAAACTAAGTAGATTCAAGACTCAGACAAGGTGTCCGGCAGGGGTTCACTCTTTCCCCTCTGTTATTCATATTTATACCAAATACATCATATCAATCTGATAGTTTTGGAAAACTGGGACAAAGGGATATCAATTGGGGTCGGTTGATATCAATTCTGATATATGCAGACGACACTACTACCTTTGCAACGACACAGGCAGACAGAACAATTTTTTTCACTTCTGGTAAACCCGAGATAAAATTAAAACGATGATAATGGATCGTAAGACTAACAATCGGCCAGTGTTACATATAATATTCGATTGTGAGGTCTTCCAGAGTTACAACTTCCTAGGGCCCACAATCACAAATACTGGAAACTACAAAGAGATCAAAAGCCGATACGCCGTGACACGATCAGCCATAGAAACACTCATGAAGATTTGGAAAGATTGCCGCTTAACTAAAAATACCAAAGTTCTGTCTAGTTTTTCTTGTATAGTCGAAACATGGACGATCCATCAAAAGAACCGCAAAAAAATTTATGCTCTTGATATGTGGTGTTGGAGGCGTATGCTAAGAATAACATTTTTGATTAAGAATATTTTTCAGTATAGCATTGTGAATGCATAACTGATCAAATATAATAATGAAATTCATTGTTGAATACATTTTAACCTTAATGTTATGATGCTATAACTGAGCTTGTTAAGAAATAAGATATAATATCTTGTCGTACCTATATGTATTTAGTGTATTATCATTCATCGTAACTGTTGGTCGTTCATTGATATTTTGCTTTGTGTGTTTCTACCTATCTGTTTAGTCTGTTACAATTAACTCTTTGACACTTGTTTTTTTTCACGAACGCCAAACTAAACAACCAGTTTGCTTTTGTTACGGTGCGGTGGCTCGTCTCGATTCGAGTCGTCTCTCGTCATAAATTAAATCGATTATTTCATTCTCGCTTACTCTTAACTATAACTGAACCGATTCTCCCGGGCTTAAATAAATACTTGCACATAAAATTAAATTTTATAATTTGTAATACTTTCAGCAAACCAGTACCTTAATAATATTATTCAAACTATTACCTTTCACTTTACAATTGTGCGGTCAATTTCTCTATGTCGGTTGAGTGAGGTTATCCTTGATTCTACAAATGTCAAATTTTATACCTACATTGTTGTTGTGATGTTATTTTGATGCCGTGATTTGAGTGGCTCAGTTTGTTTTAAATAAAACAAATGACAGCTTAAAAAAACGTAGTAGTTAATCAGTAGCCAGTGTTCGATGATATTGTGTACTAGTGTCAGTGTTTGATAAATATTTCCAAGAAAAAAATTGTGCTGGTTACAGTTCCCGTAAGTGATTGTGTGGGTTACATTGTTAATTGAAACTATTAGGATTTGCAACAAACAGCAGTCTGTTGCAATATAATTTGGTGAGTACTGAAATTTAACATTTACATAAAATTGGAATAACTTAGCTGTACACATGAAGACTACATGGTTAAGTTTATTTTATTATTTTATGCAACCTTTTTTTTGTTTTAGCTACCGATCCTTTTAATCCCACATCCTTCCTGAAACACTAAAACAGCCGTCAGAAGATCTTCCAGAGTGTTATTAATTATATTTAATACAATTTCATTTTCCGCCACATCCTACCCTCTACCTTATTTGATATACTATCAAATTAATTTATCCACTATTCTACCATATATCGTA